GCTGGAGGTTGTTGCCAAAATAACAAGCTATCCATCCATGTATAATGTTTGGGGACTTTGTACAGGGCACATGTCAACAAGTTGAGACATAGACCTCCAGGTATGCGCGGGCCAAGGCCCTCCGAGGGGCAGTCAAGTGAAAAATAATACACACAGAGAGAAACTCGGCACAAAGTTGGAGCGTGTATCGCATTTTCTCCACGAGATTGGGGTCTACAGACTTCAAACTTGCTGGAGGTTGTTGCCAAAATAACAAGCTATCCATACATGTATAATGTTTGGGGACTTTGTACAGGGCACATGTCAACAAGTTGAGACATAGACCTCCAGGTATGCGCGGGCCAAGGCCCTCCGAGGGGCAGTCAAGTGAAAAATAATACACACAGAGAGAAACTCGGCACAAAGTTGGAGCGTGTATCGCATTTTCTCCACGAGATTTGGGTCTACAGACTTCAAACTTGCTGGAAATTGTTGCCAAAATAACAAGCTATCCATCCATGTATAATGTTTGGGGACTTTGTACAGGGCACATTTCAACAAGTTGAGACATAGACCTCCAGGTATGCGCGGGCCAAGGCCCTCCGAGGGGCAGTCAAGTTTTCTGTCAAACTCGTTTTTTTTTTAACAAAAACATTTGTCAAAGTTAGCCGAAAATCGGCTAAAACGGTCACTATGGTTGAGAACAGTTGACAAAGAAAACCATGCAGACATGGCCGACGCTAAAGAAATTCTCGACGAAAGTTTCGCGGATAGCAGTTCAGAAATATCCTCTGCAGTGACCATTCTTCATCATCAGAAGAAAGCGAAGACGAGTTGGTGGCAACCTCATAAAAGTCATCGGACAAGCCGAACTTCAGGTAAACTACTAAACTACGAATGCAACAGGTGGGTGACCACTGGGAGTTGTAAGTTCCAACCCTGCACACAGGCGGCCTGTCGACAATAGTCGCTCTCCCCCCCCCCCTCCCCCCCCCCCCCCTCTCTCTCTCTCTCTCTCTCTCCCTCTGGGACAAGAGAGGAGCTCGGCGTTCTCCCAGGCGACTGAGCAGACCTTTTTAGGGTAGCACTGCTCACCCTCACAGGAGGGAGGACACTAGAAAAGGTGTCTCAAACATTGCTTGTCCCAACTCAAACTGGCCAGCAGCCGCGGTTGGCAGTTTTACCAATCCAGCGGTTGAAAACAAAAGAAAAAGAAAAAGATGATATTTGGAGCATGGATAGTCAGAACACTCAGTTATTAACGGAAACCACAAGACCTGAGAGGAGAACAGCCCTTATAGCAAGAGAACTGGCACGGTACAGCATAAACGTCGAAGCGCTCAGTGAAACTAGGCTTGCAGAGGAAGGATCTGTTGCTGAACCCAAGGGCGGCTACATTTTTTTTCTGGAGAGGCAAGGCCCAAGACGAGAACAGAATCCATGGGGTGGGACTGTACTAGCCATCAAGACGACACTTCTTAGCCAGCTACCAGATCTCCCAACCTCCATCAACAAGCGGCTGATGAAATTCCGTTTCCTCTCAAACCCTCTCTCAACCCCTCATGTCACAGTGCAGCGCCTACGCCCCCACACTAACCAGCAGCGAAGAAGTGAAGGAAACCTTCTACGAGGATATCGATCACCTTGTGAAGGCCACCCCCTCTGGAGACAAACTCATCCTGCTGGGCGACTTGAATGCCAGAGTCGGCACTGACTACAGAAATTGGAAAGGCGTGCTGGGCCCACATGGCCGCGGGGGAAAACGAACTCCAACGGCATGCTGCTCCTGAGCCTCTGTGCAAAGAACGACCTGACCATCACAAACACCCTCTTCGGGCAAGCAGACAAGAACAAAGCAACTTGGATGCATCCGAGGTCATAACAGTCCCAACAAACATTAGGTAACTGGCCAAAAAGTGGTCCAATTACTGCCGGTATAGGTCCGATACTGGTCGGTACTGGGCCAATACTGGACCTAATGTTTGTTCACTTTGTTGGGGTGGTACCTGATTGACTATGCCATCTGCCGCAAGTGGAACGCACGAGACTTCAGAACCAAAAGGGCCATGCGAGGAGCCGAGTGCTGGACCGACCGACCACCGCCTGGTTAGGTCGATCCTCACGCTGCACATCGCCCCCAACCATCAGAAGATGCCCAAACTCGTCAGGCCGTCCCTCAACACGGAAAAGCTTAGACATCCTGATCTGCGCGACCGCTTCGCGACCAGTCAATACCGATGTTCCCCAAAATCCTTAGGATAGGTTTAGGGCTATAGGGTAAGGATTTCGGGGAACATCGGGGAACATATTCTTGTAACACGCTTTTGCGAAACAACACATTGATCAAATAGTAGTTTACTTAGCATTATTCATGACATCTTACATTGAAGGAGAATGATCATTGAAACATATCATTTTCATCAAGGAGATGGGTATTATAATGGTGATTGTGGGATGAAATGGAGATGAATTTATGGTGATGAATATTATTGAATTAACTATCACAATGAACAAACTACAACTTAAAAAAAAAAACGTCAAAGGAATCCCACACATGACCCTTCTTTTCAGGGAAATGGGTTCTCATTGTATTGTTTTCAAGGTGACATTTAACACATTGTTCAAAATTAGACCAAGTATTATCAGCCAAACCAAAGTTTTGGCTAGTCAATAAAAAGAAAATTCTTCTCAAAATCAGCTGCTTGATGTTTGACGTGCACATGTAGTCACGTCTTCCGATCAGGAAAGTTTGACTTTGTTCATTTTTATCAGATGCTCCGTTTATCTAACTCAAATCGTTCAACTTTTACTTAAGCCCAATACGACCTGCTCATTTAAAAAATAAGAGCTACTTTATTTGGAGATAGATTCTTCATTGTGGTGAAAAAAAGTGGGTTTTTTTTTTACATTTTAAAACATACTTTCAACTAAAAACGGATGCTTAAAAATCTGAGTGAAACCGGCCGAGTACTTAAAACCAATCACATTTGAATCTTGTTTCCATATGAACAATTTTAGAGAAGTAGTTGAACTGGTTGGATTACCTCATCCCATCCCCTCAATATTCTAAATTTATCATCTGATTTATTTTATTCGGTCTTTCATTTATTCTTTTATTTTCTTAATTCATTTCTTGATGTACTCGTCTTTTTAAAGTTTTTTTTTCTTCCACGTTTACCTACCTGCCGTAAGCGGCGCCCTTCCCAAATAGCCCCCCCCCATTTAATGACGTCATCGTGTTTCACAGCTCACATACCCAACAAGGATAGTGTCCTTAGAAAGTGTCCTTTCTAAGTTCTTCCCCCCCCCCCCCTTACCTACCTACATGTATACTAAAGCTAGTTGTTATTAATCCCGGCCGTAGCGCGGTAAACGATATCCTCGCTAGCGTTATGCATGCGGTGCTAAGTACAGCGCGAACAGCGACCTCACACGGCCACCATTTCTATGCAAATCAGTTGGACCCAATCTAGCTAGATTGGGTCCAACCTCGTACCCAGGGTGTCGAACAGTACGCGCCCATCACTACCTGCTCTCTCACCCTGGTATTGGATCATTTGCATGTGCAAGATTTTTGAACACGTATGCAAATTAGGAGTAGTCTGGTGCCTGCCTGTGCGTTACACTTGCGTTTGTTTTTGTATGCGGTGTCTGGGGTAAAAACAGAGTCAATTCGTTGCAGCGAGCATGGCGTGAGTTACGAAAACATGATTTAATTTTAATTAAACTGTTACGATCTTAACGAGACAACATGCAGTATCACATTTCATATTAATATTAACAAACTGGAAAGGAAATGAATATTTTTGAAAAGGCGTAGACGAATGATCGCGAAAACACGTACTGCACGTTGTGAATAATAACACCAAGTACACGATATAAATCCATTTCTTGCCAATTGCGGTATCGAATCAGGATGCAGGAGGGATGTTTCCTATCCAGGGTTTACTATTGGAAACAACGTTGGAAATAAAGTAAGCACTGGGGACGAGGTTGGATTGGGTCCAACTGATTTGCATAAAAATAGTGGCCGCGTGAGGTCGCTGTTCGCGCTGTATTTTTAATGCACAGCATGCATAGACATGACAGTGACTGCATGCATAGCGCTAGCGAAGATATCGTTTACCGCGTTACGGCCGGATGAATAACAACTTGCGCCTTGACCAAGGCTAACATTACCTGCACGTTTTGAATAACAACACCAAGTACACGATAAATCCATTTCTAGCCAATTGAGGTATCGAATCAGGATACAGGAAGAAAGTTTCCTATCCAGGGTTTACTATTGGAAACGAGGTTGGAAATAAAGTAAGCACTGGGGACGAGGTTGTACCAACCTGCGCGCGAGCCATGCTCCTAGTGACCGTTCTAGCCGATTTTCGGCTAACTTTGACAGATTTTTGTTAAAAAACGAGTTCGACAGAAATCAGTTGGACCCAATCTAGCTAATTTCTGGCAAAATTCTGCAAGAAGGTTATTTTGACAGAAAAACAGCAAATTTGCCCCCAAAAATGGTACATTTGTTTACAAAACATTCAATCTTTTCAAACAAAACCTTGCAAAATAGGACAGGTTGCCTGATCTAGGTGCTGAGGTTCATCAGGAACTGGATTTCGTCTAGCCCGACTGCGTCTGGCCGTACTACTATCGCAAGCTCTGCACTACCATGGAGGAAGGAATTAATTCCTTCCTCCATGGTACTACAGAGCTTGCGATAGTATTGTACGGCCAGACGCGGTCGGGCTAGATTTCGTCGTGATCGACACAACCACGTTTTGCCTGAAATTTACGTAATTTCCTATTATCTTGATGTGGCTATAGATTGTTTCTAATGTAATTTGAATATTCATTAAGGCAATATTACAACATCTGCTTGTGATTTAAAGTGTTTATAGTGTATTTCGAGTAAATTTGGCAGATTTTTGATCCATGTGACAATTTTTGATCCATCTGGAAGATTTTTGAAGTGCATTTAGCAGAATTTAGTCATGACCTTACGGTCACCCAGGCCATGCTCTAACTTACTAAAAATCAAAGCGCCGCAAGCGGCGCTATATAGGATCTTTGCTAAAAATACTAAGGGGAAAAAAAATGGCTTCGTACTTCGACGAAATTCAAAAATATTTTCAGCACCACAACCGGACAAAAGAATTGAATGGAAACCATACCGCCAAAGTACATTCCGTTGGGTGGAGCTGTGATGGTCGTCTTCTTGCGTCAGGATCTTTCGACAAAACAGTTAGCGTGTTCCTTTTGGAGAGAGACCGAATGGTTGGTTTTCCGATACTGCGACGACAGCCCTATTCAAAAACGGTGGCGTCCGGAAATTGGGCACAAATCGGCGGAGCGTTCCCTAGCCCCATAAATGTGGCCAATTTAATGCGACTACCTCTGTAAATAAAGACCACACTTGGAACATGTACAAAACTAGCTTGAGTAACTCCAGCTGACATGCTCATATTCTACTTCTGAAATTAGAAGGCTTCCTCCGTCTGCCTTCTGAGAGTGAGGGCCTTAGTCTTAGAATTCGGGGGTCAGCACTCTCACTGACTCTATGGCTTTTGGAAATGCCCTTTGATAGACGAAATACCTTTGTCTTAAATTCCACTTTTTGAAACACAAATCCACCAAGGGTGGAAAATCTGAGTTTTTACCCACCAGCCTCGCGTCTCCGATCTGACGAATGTAAGGTTATGTTCATTTTAGCTGGAGTTACCCAGCCCTGAGTTTTATCATTGGGTTGTCTATTAGGGCTGGAGCGCATTTTTCTCGTAACTTGTAGTATTTGCAAAAAAAATTTGGAAAATGTTCAATTTTGTCCCCGTTACACACTAATTGCAACTGCAACTCACCCCAAACTTGCCTGGAATAACCATTACACAGGTCCTTGAAGTAAAAAACGATCCACGATGAAGATTCAGCCTACAATTGCAGTGAAAACAGGAGGAATAACGCTAACCTGACAACCTTTCAGGCATGGCCAGGACTGCTATTGGTTTGTGCACCAAAAAAATTGTGTACAATGGGCGGTCGATTAACAGGCACAGAGAGCGATCGCTGTCAACTACTCGTTTTGCCGGCTGCGCTGGCGTTGGCGCGTGACGTCACGCGGAAGCGTAACACCGATGACTGTTTCATGCACTATTGGTTGCGGTTCCAGTACCAAAGCTGTGATGCGAGTGGTAAACCTTATACTAGTGCATGAAACAGTCGTCGGGTGTTACGCTTCCGCGTGACGTCACGCGCCAACGCCAGCGCAGCCGGCAAAACCGAGTAGTTGACAGCGATCGCTCTCTGTGCCTGTTAATCGACCGCCATTCATTGTACACAATTTTTTTGGTGCACAAACCAATAGCAGTCCTGGCCATGCCTGAAAGGTTGTCAGGTTAGCGGTTATTCCTCCTGTTTTCACTGCAATTGTAGGCTGAATCTTCATCGTGGATCGTTTTTTACTTCAAGGACCTGTGTAATGGTTATTCCAGGCAAGTTTGGGGTGAGTTGCAGTTGCAATTAGTGTGTAACGGGGACAAAATTGAACATTTTCCAAATTTTTTTTGCAAATACTACAAGTTACGAGAAAAATGCGCTCCAGCCCTAATAGACAACCCAATGATAAAACTCAGGGCTGGGTAACTCCAGCTATGTTCATTTGTGTGTTTACGTACTTTGCGCGTGTGCTGATCTTCGCGTGACCTCAGCAGGTCAACTCTACATTCGGCTCGACCATTTGGGATGGAGGGGAGATTGTATGCTTTGCATCGCGAAACAGTACATCATGATGCGCGGGCGTGGTCAGACGGGCCAATCACGAGGCCACGTGCATGACGTGTTAAATTCTGCAGATAATTTGGAATCGCACTTACGATCTGGACATGAGGAGTGCCCGGAGCGTCAGTGCGATACCAAATTATCCGCAGCATTTATCACGTGGTCTCGTGATTGGCCCGTCTGACGCCGCCCGCGCATCATGATGTATTATATAAACGACATATAGATTCTTGTCATTTGATTGGTGGAACTCACATCACGTGGCATTCGTTATTGCTCCCATTCATGCCGCGGCTCAAAAAGTACTATCCGCCCATAGGGAATGGGAAATACTATTCAACAGTTAGGATCATGACGCGGTATTTGTGTGCAAATGCATGCTGGTGTGCGCGTTCAGCGTTGCGAGTAGTGTGTATTGTTCCAAAGAGCCAGCGCTACAGCGTTGGGTTCAAACGTTTTCGTGAAGGGGTGGTTTTGGAAGAGAGAAATACATTTTCCTCCAGTTTTGTATTGAAAAAAAGTTCAAATATATCAAATGACAAGGATATATGTCAGTTATATAAAACAAATATTGAGTGGCTTTTAATTGTGAAATGGGAGGAATATTATCGCTCGATAAAATCTGGACTTTTCCAAATCACTCGGCTTCGCCTCGTGAAATGGAAAACTCCAGATTTTTACCTTGCGATAATATTCCTCCCATTCCACGCTGAGCCACTCAATATTTGTATACTGTTTCGCGATGCAAAGCATACAATCTCCCCTCCATCCCAAATGGTCGAGCCGAATGTAGAGTTAACCTGCTGAGGTCACGCGCAGATCAGCACACGCGCAACGGACGTAAACACACACATGAACATAACCTTGCATTCGTCAGATCGGAGACGCGAGGCTGGTGAGTAAAAACTCAGATTTTCCACCCAAAAAATTGTCCCATGATCCAAATGTCAAATGCGTGAAAATATTTCAGAGTTATGGATCAACAAGCTCAATTTTTGGGTGGATTTGTGTTTCAAAAAGTGGAATTTCAGACAAAGGTATTTCGTCTATCAAAGGGCATTTCCAAAAGCCGTAGAGTGCTGACCCCCGAATTGTACGGCTCTCAGAAGGCAGACGGAGGAAGCCTTTTGATTTCAGAAATACTCATATTCATTCACATGTAGCGGTGGAGACATAACCTATTCGTTAGAGTGTGGTAGCAAGAGACCCTAAAATGGCGATCGTGTAGTGTAGGGACTGGTTTCTATAAGGGAACAAAATCCACTTTAAAATTATTGGACCTACCAAAGTAGTTGGTGACATTCTCAATAAACAGGTACATGTATGTCATAGATAGAGGGCAGGATTTGATTTTTGAGGGAAATTTGGGGGTAAAATGACGATGACAGCGCGGCGACAACACGCGACCCGATGACGATCATCGCGCGATGTAACGTGAGCACGCACGGCTCACTAAATCGCAAGGCACAAACCGCGCAGGAAAATCGTGATTTCTACCCCAAGAATCTGTTCAGAATTGCAAAACGGGTGTCATTTAGGATTGAGAAAAGCCTGCTTTTGATTGTAAAGGTGACTTTTGAGCAAGCAAAATATTTTTGACTCGAATTGATCAAAACAATACAGAGGCCCCACACTTCACGATCGCCCCTAAAATAATGGCCTCTCTCAAAAATTGTCCATTTTCTCCTCTAATATCCCACCCCAGATTTCATTTACATACCTCATACATTCAGCAGTCATTCACAAAGCTAATGATCAACTTGAAACAGACCACAAAAAAACAAATGTGAAAAATCTTGACGATTTCGGTGGCTTGTACGAAAAAAAAAGGCCGGTTCCAATGGCTGTCGTCCATTTTGTTTTGTCAATTATGTAAATGCATGCATCACGTGATGACATCGAAAAAAATCTGGACGCGCGGTGTGTGTGGGTACCACACCGCTTTCAGACGCCGCAAGTGGGTTCAGTTTTCGTCTGGTGCGTTGTCGCGGAAAGCAAGACAACGAGAATGCTTTCCACGACAACGCACCAAAATTGAACTTCGCGATAACTACTGTGCAATTCGATGTCGCGGTGACGATAAACATGTGAGTAATGCTAGCTCAATGCAGCGATGACTGGTTCCTGCCATGCCGCGCAGGGGCCAATTGAGAAGGCACGATGAAAATGCGGTAACCAGTCTGTGCATGGCCATGCGCACTGTCAACTGGTCAGTCAGATTCGACATCGTAAAAATGTCAAGAAAACACAAATGGATCTCTTTTGTCTGTGTTTGCAATTTTTGTGTTCAAGAGTTCATTTTGAGATGGCACTACTCGTATTTGGAGTGATACAATGCAGCTTGTTCCCCAAAAATTGTCCACCGTAAAAACGAGGTCTGTTGCCCGCTGGCCACACAATGCATTCACGCATTACGGAATTCTGGCTTGTTTCCCGTCTTGAATAGCGTTGTGCATTATGGTTTGCACGACCTGAATTTTCCATTATTTTGTAAGAATTATCGAACGTAAATATTTTGACAATAATTAAGGTAGCTTTTATTCACTTTTTGTGGAATTTTTTTTGTATAGCTTTCATAGTGCAATGGAAATAGTTCAGGCTAAAACTGTGCATATATACCCCATTCAATTAGCATAAAAAAATTTGGCAAAATTTTTTTTTCCGACCGACCCTATTTTTGAAAGGCATGTAATCGGAAGCAGAAGTTTTTTTTTTGGCCTTAGCTAGTAATGGTCAAGCAGATCACATACTAGGAGTTTCTGATCATTTCTTTAAATCATTAGTTAGATATCATGGTTTAATTGGCTCTGTTACTGACATTACACTGCCTTTTAAAAAGCTAAAATTGCCGACATGCAGAACTTCTTTTAAAAAATAGGAGGCGCTATTTGGGTTTCCATTTGTTTTGACTCGCCCTTTATGAATTGTTGTTATTATTTATCAGTAGTTTATTTGTAAGTGATTACAGATTTCTATTTTCCCACAGTCAAGAGAAGCTACATATCGTGGTCACACAGACAGCGTAGATCAACTGTGTTGGCATCCATTTCATCCAGAGCTTTTTGTTACAGCATCTGGTGATAAGACTATCAGAATATGGGATGCAAGAGCCAACAAGACAGTAGCAACAGTCAACACAAAAGGTAATTACAAAAGCTGTATGTACGTGTATTCGCTGTGTCAGCTTCATGTCCATTACCACGGTGAAACCCTGATCCGTCGTACAAAGCCTGCAGTGCATACTGTACGTCTCGGTGACTGCTCTATGTTCCAACACCCCTATATTCCGACAACCAGCACATAAGATTGTGTACTCCCGATTAGGGTTAGGGTTGGGAATAGGAATATGTGCAGTCGGAACATGGGGGTGTCAGAACATAGGGGTGTCGGAAAATAGAGGCGTAACCCGTACACTCTACTGTACATGCACACCCACTGTCCCATGTGGAAGTCACAGTAGCAACTTCAGGTTCTGCGGCTATGAAAATGATAATGATAAATCGAAAGGGATCTGATTGGCCATTGATTTTTTAAAAACATGCGTGGGTTGCGTCTCGCATGTGCCGTTACCAAATCAGCAACATTTGATCTATGTTGTGATTGGCAGTTGAGAAACAAATATTCTTAGATGGACAATTTGCATACCAGATCCACAGCCAGACATTCAAACAATAGCGCTAATAGTAACAGGCACCACAGGGTTCTAGCCAGGCATACAATATGATATTGGGCCGATACGCTTTGAAAAAAATTCCCAATAGGCTTGAAGAGTTAGATGATACGCAATCGTTACGCTTCAGATTTTTGCGGTGACTTCTTTCTCGAAGAAGTTGATAAGTTTGGTAGTGAAAAAGGACGTGTTCCTGACAAAATAAGATTTGAGCACTCAAGGCAGACAGCATGCGGTGTGTTGCTCTCTCAAATGATGCGCCGGGAAAATTTGGTCGTAATTCGCCTTTTTGGGCCAGCTTCGCCGACCTGGCATGCCTACCGGCCCGGCACACCATCAGCCTGTGGCATAGGAAGCAATTCCCGGTGTATATTTCTTATCATCACCATCCCTGTCAATCCCGTCATGGCCAGGGTACGTTGTACATTGTGCCGTTCACCACCTACCCCTAACTTCTCCATTAAATTTTGAAGAATTTTATTTTTATCACTTTTTGTGGCCATTTTTTGGAAAGAATGTAGTATCCAGATGCCACTTTTTTGGTTGTGTAACATTACTAAGTCTGTGGATAGTTAGTGCATTTTCAAAGTACATTGTATTTTCTGACAAAATTAAAAATGTTTTTCAGTCCCAGATTCATGTTGTTTCAATATTTTTGCAATGACTGACCTTCATTGAGATAATACATACATGTATCATACGATAAAAAAAAGTGGCATTAGGTTGCAACATTCTTTCCCCATTTTTCACTCACACTTAACCATAACCCCCTAAGAGTTCATTTGGAGTACAGTACCACATACTACAAAGTACTACAAAAATTATGTACATGTATGCAGGTACCCAAATACTAGAAAATCCTATGAGTGCTGTGCTCACTTATATGCTAAAGTACTGCATACTACAGTTTACTACTAGTAGTATTTTGTAGCGTTAGGTGCGGTTAGGGTTAATAAAATAATATTGATAATGAAAACTAAAATGGTCAACTAATGACAAAACGTTCACGAGTAGGTTGACAAACATAAAAAATATCCCATATCTGGAACCGATTCCTGACATCAATGGTCGGGTACTTGGGTAACTGGTTCCAATGTACATCTCTAGCCAATATCTAGATACATTTAAATTTCAAGTAGAGATGGGTCATTCCATAAATTTGGGGTCCAACTTTGTTTCCTGTTTCGGTTTATTTTACAAAGATTTACATGTATTCAGAACACATTTTTTAACCTACGTGTAACCTCCAGGGTGTATGATAAATTATTCAGGTGTGAGATTTGTCAGGATTTTTCCTGATTTCAGGATTTTTTTGTCAGGATTTGTCCCCTGATTTCAGGATTTGTCCCCTGATTTCAGGATTTGTTGTCAGGACTTTTTCTGATTTCAGGATTTGTTGTCAGGATTTTTCCCTGGTTTCAGAATTTTTGTCAGGATTTTTCCCTGATTTCAGGATTTTTTTGTAAGGACTTTCCCTGATTTCAGGATTTTTTATCAGGATTTTCCCATCTTTCATTGATGTAAGGATTTTTGTCATGGATTTTTCCCTGATTTCAGGATTTTTGTCAGGACATTTCCTGATTTCAGGAGTGTTTTGTCAGGATTTACCCTGATTTCAGGATTTTTCCCTGATATCAGGAATTTTTGTGAGGACCTCTTGATTTCAGGATTTGTTGTCAGGACTTTTCCTGATTTCAGGATTTGTTGTCAGGACATTTCAGGATTTTTATCTTAGAGTCCTTTGGAAATCCCGAATTCCTTAGGTTTTACCATAACTTACGTATTTTAAACGTTCATGTGGAACATATACATGTACCGTCTACACTTCTTTGCCCTTGGGTCCTCAGTGACCCCCAAACCATCCACTTAATTTCTGTGGATTTTTCATTTGCCCCGATCTCACCCCTGATTAGAGTTTGAGAATTCAGAGTTAGGGTTAATGCCTTCTATCTCCATGATCTCCAAGAGTGATCACCTGAAGCAAAGTATGGGAAATTAGACAGGTCACGTGTAACAGGGACCACACAAACATCAATCTTGTGGATCCTGGATTTTATGTATCACTAAACATGAGTGTTTTTATTATTATTTAGTATTTATGTTCACCTTGTAATATTCATTAAATATTTATTTTCAATTCTGAAAAAAAAAAATGTAGGTGAAAACATAAATATTTGCTGGAGTCCGGATGGGCAAACAATTGCTGTTGGAAACAAAGAAGATCTTGTGACCTTTGTGGATGCCAGGTCACATCGTGTCAAGACAGAAGAACAGTTCAAGTTTGAAGTCAATGAAATTTCATGGAACAATGAGAATGACCTGTTTTTCCTGACAAATGGACATGGATGTATTAATGTATTAAGGTAAGCCTGCATGTTACATTTACTATTCTTCCTCTTTTGTTATAGGTAATCATTCTGATTTAAGATTATTTTGGAGTACAGTCAGCAAGCTTTAGTAACACACACACAGCTAAACACACAGCAGCTTTCATAATACCGTACATGTACATACCAGACATTGTAAATCTATTGTCACTGGCCATGAACTTAATTCCTAGAGTGTAAAACAAAACAGATCATACAAATGTTGCAGTCCAGGGGCCATATTCATGAAACCTTACTAAGCCTAGTTGGTTACTAATTAGGCATGTAGTTGCTTACTAAGCCTAGTTGGAAAATATTTGGTAGTCATGAATCATTGCTAACGCTAGTTACATTCTAAGTTTCTTACTAAAATTAGTGTAGATTCAGGGCAACTCTAAGTCACTAGTTAGCAACTATATCATTGTTTGTGGCTCTCCCCCTCCGGTTGCCTTCTTGGACTTGCTCATACTTGACAGGCATTCTCTTGACTCGGAGTTTAATGTGGATAATCTAATTTGAAATCATCCAATGATCTTTCAACCTGTGGAAATCTTGCAAGGTGCTGGCTGAGAATAGCTGCCCATGCATCTTTCTTTTTCTTGTTGGTGTTTGCATCCTTATGCTTAGCATCAATAATATCTTTTTTCAATATCTTTAATTCCTCATACTTGCCTGTCATAAAGGGTTCTCTTCTTGAGAATAATTTGCCTTCCTTGCCCTTTTGCTTTATATGCAATTGCTAGATAATTTGATGTTGATTTACTTACTTGCAGTACACTCTACCACATATAGGCCTTGGTCACTTTATTCCTTCTTTTTTTGGCTAATCCACGCAAGGGCTGGACATGGATAAGCCTAATACACTTGTCACACTATTGTATCTGTTGTCATCACATTCCACACATGCCCACTCCACCCACAAGCACCCAATTCCAGTTACTCCCATATGCAACTTAACAGTCCTAGTATGTAACTAGTAATTTAGCAAGGTTCTTCTAAGGTTTCATGAACAACAATTTAGTTGTCAACTACACAGTAGACCACTAGGCATTTTAGTATCCTACTAAGGCCTAGTTGGCTGCTAATTTAGTAAGGTTTCATGAATATGGGCCCAGGCCAACAATGTCATTTCTTCTGCAAAATCATGTTACCAAAGATTCCTGATTGCCCCAAAATTAAGTAGATCAAGATCTGGCATTACTGTTGATGCTGAGCTATTCGTCAATGAGGTAATAAATTCTCCCCAAACTTGCTTGATATTGATGATCTTAATATGGAGGATGACACTTTGCTGGTGCCCATTGCATGAGAACATGGCCTCATTCTTGGTGTCTAAAACAAATGTACCATTTTTTATGCCCCGCGGCGAAGCCGAAGGGGCATACTGTTTCCGCCTTGTCCTTCCGTGGGTGGGTGTGTGGGTGGGTGTGTGGGTGGGTGGGTGTGTGTGTGTGTCCGGACAAATCTTGTCAGCGCGATAACTTGAGAAATACTTAACATATGAACTTCAAATTTGGTTTGTGGATTGTTCTTGGTAATCCTTAGAAGCCTTTTGCATTTGGGGCCAAAAGGCCAAAGGTCAAGTTCACAGTGGCTAAAACAATAGAAATCTTGTCAGCGCGATAACTGGAGAAATACTTAACATATGAACTTCAAATTTGGTTTGTGGATTGTTCTTGGTAATCCTAAGAAGCCTTTTGCATTTGGGGCCAAAAGGCCAAAGGTCAAGTTCACAGTGGCTAAAACAATAGAAATCTTGTCAGCGCCATAACTTGAGAAATAATTAACATATGAACTTCAAATTTGGTTTGTGGATTGTTCTTGGTAATCCTAAGAAGCCTTTTGCATTTGGGGCCAAAAGGCCAAAGGTCAAGTTCACAGTGGCTAAAACAATAGAAATCTTGTCAGCGCGATAACTTGAGAAATACTTTACATGTGAACTTCAAATTTGGTTTGTGGATTGTTTTTGGCAATCCTAAGAAGCCTTTTGCATTTGGGGCCAAAAGGCCTAAGGTCAAGTTCACAGTGGCTAAAACAATAGAAATCTTGTCAGCGCGATAACTTGAGAAATACTTTACATGTGAACTTCAAATTTGGTTTGTGGATTGTTCTTGGCAATCCTAAGAAGCCTATTGCATTTGGGGCCAAAAGGTCAAGGGTCAAGTTCACAGTGGCTAAAACAATAGAAATCTTGTCAGCGCGATAACTTGAGAAATACTTAACATATGAACTTCAAATTTGGTTTGTGGATTGTTCTTGGTAATCCTAAGAAGCCTATTGAATTTGGGGCCAAAAGGTCAAGGGTCAAGTTCACAGTGGCTAAAACAATAGAAATCATGTATTTATTCTGAGATTATAGGGATTAGGGATTAATTCATATAAAACCTACAGAAGACACTAATGCTGTCAATGAATGTTCCATGTGACCAAGGTACATGTAAGTTGATGTTAAAAGAGTGGTGTTATGTCATGGGAACTGTCACCGTTGCGGGGCATTTGTGTTTGTAAACACACCTGACTTGTTTTAATGTTAGCTAGATTTGTTGGTGGACAAACACAGGACTGTTTCGGCATCTTTTTGTGTGACATGTGACATGTAAAGTTTCAAGTATTTAGTTTCATCCAGGAAGGATGTGTTGTTCTTAAATTAGGTTTTGCCCTTCACCGACGTTTAAACACTGTATACTCAGTGTGTTACATGTACCTCCCAAGTGAAAGATGGAAAAAAATCACTCGGGTGGGACTCGAACCCACGAACTCCTGCTTTCTAGTGCAGATGTCTTACCACTCGACCACCGAGCTAACGGGATCGGTTGGCAGATTCGAACCAGCCAACCGAAGGGGTCATGTGATTTTGCATGTAATAATAAAAATGAAGACCATGGATAAATTCTATCCACTGCAAACGTCAAGTTCAGGTTTCTCATGGTTGATTTTATTTTGATTTTCAAAGATTAAATCTTTTAATAATTAATGTGATGTCACGTGACCCAAGATGACATCATCGTGACGTTGCTTCAATTTCATCTAGAACACATCCTGGTCTCGGTACATACATGTACCAACTTTCAACCCCATCGGACCTGTAGCACTTCAATGACATCAAATTTCACAAAGAATTCCCTGAATGTCATTTTGAATTTTTTTTTTTTTCTTCGGAAATGATCACTTTCTCCGATGTCTACATATAGAGCAAATTGCAGTCTTGTGTGCAGGTGCACAAGAGCCAAACTATATATCAGTAGTGGTTGGCTGTTTCGGCAATCAGCCGATACCGGCTTTTTTGTTCCTTAAGATTTTTTTTTGAGACTCCTGTCCATAGCATTTGAACACGTTTTCATCGTAGAAGGCACTTGGGCACTAAAATCAATCCAATTGCCTGTATACACGGCACACACTTAGACCAGCATCTGAAGATGTGTGCCAAACATTTACGTCATAATGATGTCATCACGAGTCACGTGACATCACATTTATGCATATTTTGAAGGCCTACAGGTATATCTCTAGAACTACAGGTCCGATTGGCTTCAAAGAGGTTAGCACCTAGACTGGGATGTTATAGATGAAAAATGAAGTGATGTCATCATGGGTCATGTGACAAAAGCTGTGAACTTCTTTTCAACGATGTATGCTCTGGCTAAGTTGTTAACCAGACATCATAAAATGTTACAGCACCCTCTAATTAAGGCAGGTTGAAAAATGTTTAAAATGAATAATCAGTTGATGAGTGTGGCGAAGTTGCTGAAATCAGTTTTACAGAGATGCCAACATATACGATTTGGGCGTAGCAAAAGCATTGCGATCGTTTAGAGGTTTCTTACCACCAGGTTCGAGCGGCGAGCCGCGAGCTGCGACTGACTATTTGACAACCACTAGTCGATTTTCCATGGTAACCTATGCGCGAAATACATATTGGGTACCAGGCAAAATCGACCAGTGGTTGACAAATAGTCGCCACGGGCGGCGAATTCGCATATATGTACATGTACATGTATAAATGTATGTACACATCCGCGTTAGACTCGATTGCCAGAAACCAGCCTCACTCTAGACTTGATTTCAAGTCTGAGATCGCGGTTGCTTCGCGCAATATTTTGCAAAAGTTAACTTTATACAGTACCACTGTGCTATCATTCAATATTTGCTCCATAAGCCAAAAGAGGGCGCTATTTATGATATGGTTATGGAGAAAAACCCACGATCACAGACTTAAAACCAAGTCTAGTTTTACGCATGCGGGGCGTGATTGTACCCAGTGATTTTTATTGCAATACAGAATAGTGAGTGTACGTATGGGGAACGAAGTTGCCGCACTGCTTTACAGGTACGACGTACTGTATGTAGCTAGCTGTGCAAGTGCGTGCACTACAGTATACATTGTACTACAACGGAGCTTGCATCAATTCGCCATCGAAGCTTAGCCCGGGAAAGCTGGAATAATGGAGACTCCTCTGAAAAAAAAGGAAACTTTCGGAGTACACAACTGAGTGGCCTGTAATCGTGCGATCTAAGCTTGATGGTTTCCATGCATTCTGTGTTCTTTGCAAGTGCTACTTCAGCGTCAGGCATGCAGGCAAGAACGACGTGGCTAAGCATATTAACACTGCAAAACACAAGTCTTACCAGACGGCTGTTGAGTCCACAAAGTCCGTTGCCGGGTATTTTACGTCGGCTAAAGATAACACTTAACAGCGTCATGGACGCTGAAGTGCATTGTGTCGACTTCATGGTGGAACACAATCATCCCTTGACCTAATGTGCTCGGCGATGCAGGCCCATATGCTGGGGGGATTATGGGGCTTCAAACAAACTCTAGGAAGATTTTCATACGCGGACAATGCTTATTATTCCCTATAGTGACCTACATTGTACAGCCATGAAATGCAATGACAAGTCATAAAAAGTCGAATTTAGCATTGACAAAAACGAAGCATTTACTTAGAAAACACTTAGAGTCTACATCACTCTACTTACCTGTAGAGCGAATACTACCTATGCATTGTTCCCTATGCCGGCAGGC